TGCAAAGCCCCGTTGTCGCAAACAACGGCTGCTTATACCGTCTATATGTTGGTACTCGTTATATTCAGCCCGACGACACCCGTCACTATTGTTCTCAGCGACATCGTCGATCGGGAGTTGGCTCTATTCTTAATCCGTCAAAGAAAATAGACGTTTCCACCGAGATTTCTAGCGGGCGATAAATTAAGCACGTGCCTGATCGTCATATCCTCGTTAACATCCGCTTCGTCCATCCGTGGAAAGATCGCGCTCGGGAAAGGATTTTGCGAATGTCCGCGAATTCTTTTATCATTTTTGCGAAAATACATTAATTCCAAGCCCGAGTCTCCTCGAAGCGCAAGCCGACCGAGCGTCGATAGCCCCGATTCTCGGTACGAATCCATCGCGGCTGAAGTTGTCGCGGTTCGGCGCGTTGGAAACGAATTTCGATCGTTCTCAATTAAAATCCAATTAAGAAGTTTTCGTAATGGCTGATGCATCGCTCTCGCGGGCCTCGGAATAATTTGCGGTGTTAAAATAAATCGCGGACGCGCGACGTCGGGCAAGAAGTGTATATCGGGATCGGGTTTCATTGCGTCGATCCCGCGGCAGCTCTAGGAATACACCTCTATTCGCGGGTGCACCTGTATACCGGCGCTCGTTGCAAATTTCGCCGAAACAATTCTCGCCGGTGCTTCCTGCGCGCGAAGTTCGTAGATATTTCATCGCATTGGTTTCCACCGTCAGGCCATCGTGCATCGGGGTTAACCGACCTCGTTAATGTTCGTTCAAGCCGGCAAGTATGCGCGTTGTTCCGCCTTTCATAACTTCCTACCCCTTTCCAGTTCGCTTTCTGCGCGTTTGGTTTGCCCGCGGTATTAATCTCGGGCGGACGCGACGCGATTAAGTGTGCGCAGCTGCGATTTCGTTTCCGACTTCAGTGCTGCGAATCGAGTTTATGTAACAATTAACTCGATAACTTATTGTTAGAATGATGTACTGGCATTGTGTAACAGATACGTGAGAAAATCGAAAAGCGCGCCGTTGAAAGCCTTGATATATAGGATTCATGTTTCCCTATCATTTGTATTATATTATTAATAAAATTAATTAAATTTAAAATAAATTATTAATAAAGTAAATAAAATAGATTAAACTTTCGATAATATAAACATAAAAATAGGGCAATCCCGAGTCAAAATTTTGGCACGATTTTAACACTTTTAAGGATAATTTACACCTACTTAGCTGATCTTTACACCTACATAGACCAGCAATAACTTACTTTGATGACATATTTTTTACTCCTCCCTTGAATTTTTAATTCTCAAAATTTACTTTAGCTCCTACTTAAAAGAACCTACTTTAATGCTAAATTGGCAAAAGTAGAAAGTTCCGACACTATCAGTTTTAAAGTAGGAGTAAATTTTCTACTTGCAGTTCGACCTCTTTTACTGTCTTAGGTCCTACTATGTAATAGATTTAAAGGTTCAACATGGGGTCAAAATTTCGACTCGGGATGAGTATAATCAACTGTATTTAATTTTTATTACAATTCGCGAAAACAAATTGGTGATAACAATTAGTAAACGTTTCGACTTCAATTTGGCTCATCTTTAGCACAAAAAAATATTTAAGGATCAAATCCAATTATTAGTTGTAACGTGAGCTGTAAAATGCGCAATTTTCTACTACAAACGGGATCTACCGTTTTGTACTCCGTTTGTAGAAAAACGGACCGGGACTTTCGACTTATCGATCGGAATGACATTTTACTCCGTGGAAAACGTTGGATCGAACGGCGATGACTTGTGTATTCGCGTGCGCGATGGCGAATTATACCGTATAGTGCGGAACTTGATAAAGCAGTAGACTACCCTGAGAGAAAAAGAAAGAGAGGGGAAAGTGCTCACAAAATCGACGCACGTGGAAAGGTCGACAAACTAGATGCGATGCTGAAAGGCACCGTCGAAGTGTCGGGCGGAAGGGTTTTTCGTGTCCCGACATTATCGGATAGAGCTTGGGAAGACTCCCTCTTGATCGAACTGCAAAATGACTGAAGAAAGAGGTCGGAGTTGGTGATCGAAAATGCGGGCTGTCTCTTTTCACCGAGAGTGTTCCGCGAATAAGCGGGTCGATGCTCCTCGCGTATTCTGGTGCATCCCGGAAGTGGATTAACAACAGCAATGAAACGATCGTTAAGTGGTTATTAGGTTATTAGGTGAAGCCGCACAAATAAACCTGCAATCTCCACCTCTAAAAAGTTACACGGTTTTTAATTATAATATGATATAGCGGAGTTTCTGCTAAATTAACAGGCATCATCTGTTGGTTCCATCAAGAATTTAATGCCCTTGGAGTGACGTCTGTTTAGCGGAAAATTGATTGTTGGATCGTGTAATCGTTGCGAAAAAAGATTTGTGATTGAATTTGGACGTTGAAAACCTACTATCTCGTGTTAGAATCCTATCTCATAACAGAGGACTTTTCTCTCTGTATTTTTTAAAATATGGAACATATTTACTCTCTAAAAGCTAATCAGTGAATTATCACTGGAAACGATGAATAGTCACTGATTCGCAGTTATAAGTGTACTACTGAAAATTAGTACCGTCACTACTGAGAATTGCATAAATCAGTGACTATTCACCGAGGGGGAAACCGCTGAGGGCATTGTGGTGCACGGATTTGCGGCATTACTGGGCATCACTAGACATTACTGGGCATTTTTTGGGCATTAGTTTGGGCGTCAGGCCTTGCTGGGGCATTATAAAGATAAAATAAGATAATAAGATAAAGTAATGCCCATTAGCGGGCATCGGTGTACAAGATTTTGATCAGCGGTTTCCCCCTCGCTATTCACTGTTTTCAGTGATAATCCGCCGATTGACTTTTGGAGATCGAGTAGGAGAATAATGGCTTTATGCGCCTCTTGTACGAAATACACATCGACATACGTGCCTTGTATTTTTAGCCGGCCCGTAATGTATCCGAGACTTATCGATATCATTGCTGGAACGCACTCCGAACGTTTCCTTGAGACAAATTCTGAATGGCGAGCGTATATTATGGATGAAGCGCAGTTGCGAGAATTCGATCGCTAATGGACGGCGCATTTGCGGAGGGGATTCGTATCGATTAATATCAAGGCGAAGGGTACTGCGAAATCAATAGAATTATTCGTGTCGCAAGCATTACTCGTGATACGCCCCGATGGCGAATCTAATTATGCACGGGGGGGGGGAGGCGAGGGGAATAATGTACGCCCGTACGTGCGCGCGAACTCGTCCGGTTTTCCGGTATCCGATGGCGAACGATTAGCACAGCGTAGCACGCAACGGAAGGATAATTCTCCATTGTGCCCCTCGATATCGGTACATATTGCCATTAGCCTCATTATTTGCCCATACGTGCCGCAATACTGTACACTTGTAATCAAAGCGCGCGCGCGCGCGCGCGCCACATCCTAAGCGCGCCGCAAATTATTTTGTTTCGCCTCGTGAATTATGCTCGTTATTATTATTTGTGTCACACATCACTCGCGCGTATTATTAATTTGATCAACTGGGGAATACTAGTCCGTGAATCTATTACACTCTATTACGGCGGACCTTCGTACCGCGCCCGCTCGTTCGGTCAGTCGCATATCGCTCCAATTATTATTGGCCTCTACTACCGCTACCGGATTATAATGGTTTCGATACATTTGGCACCGAACACTAGTGTGGCTGCCAATTAGTATCGATAGTCCGCGTCTCGGGACCGTAGTTCACCGAGCGGGTGCTACGCCACGTGGTGTGCACTCGCGTATCGATCGCCCCACTCATTTGTTACATTCGCCACGCACATTTGTGTGTATGTACGTATGTATGTATGCACAATGTTGCTATATTAAATCTCACACAAGACTTGACGTTTGTTTCACTTTCAATCGACTCGCATCAGACGCTATTTGCCACCGTAGATATGGAAACTTTTAGAAAAGGGAAAAAATAGAAGCTCACTTTGGACGATCTATTCGCGTCAGAATTAAAAACAGAATTTCATTTATATAAACTTATACGCCGATGTGAAAGAGCATTTAATGAAACAGAATATGCACACGTGTATAAGACATACAGCGCGGTGCATTAATTCAGTTCGGGTCGTGTCATCAAAAAGCATCTACGTTTAAATAATCAAGTAATTTTTGCCCATCCTTAATTATTACCCGAGCCGAATTAATGTACCCACTGTACATTGACACCAGAACTACCAAGGTAATCGAAATGATTTCTTTCACATTTTGTAAAATAATTATTACTCATTTTCAAAACGTTTTAATTCCTGAAAATTTTTTCCGCGAAATATATAATTAATTTTATACATTTGTTTCCTTTTTTTCTACTAGATTTCTACCTAGGTTAATTTTTAACAGCACTAGTGTTCAAATTTGGGTTTAATGTCACTACATTTCTTAAATCGGTTAACTTTATTATGCGTATTCTTGTGAGAAAAAGACCATGTTTTTCAATAATTTCCTCATAAATATATTACGACTGAATACAGCCACGTTTTAACAAAGTTGTCGACGTATACACTTGGTTATTGTAAATTTGGAATATTGTTATTAATAAAGAGACTTTAATTTAACTTTTCTAATGGAATGTAGATGCGTTCGCAATTCTAATAACGATGGGAGCACACGAAGACTTTCTCATCCACACGCACGTATTAGTAAAGTTATACAATCCTAGTGCAGACGTCGATTTCCGTTTCACGCATCGGCTCGACATCGCGGGACGTCATTAAAGTCACATACCCACATACGAGCACACAAACACACAAGTCTACACACACATATGCAGATCCTTCTAATGTAGGACGCAGCCGGCAAAGCTAAATTTAGGATAAGATGCAGCAGTCGAATTTCGAAGCGTGCCCACGCTTGTCGCTAGCGGGGCGACCGTCGAAGCGATTTTTTCTTTCGTTTCGCGAATACCCCGTTCTCGGTCGCGAAAACCCTTTGATCTGCCTGCAAGAGATTCGCTTCGGCGAGTGGGAGGAGAGAGCGACTCATCTCCGTCGACATCCGCGACGCGGAGAATCGGCGGGGTTTGCGTTCGCGTAATTTCCGCGTGTCACGTGTCGTCGAACGCCACGTGTTATAAGCACGACAAATAAACCGTCGGTTGGGCGGATCGCCAGGATTGTTGTTAATTTTGAGAATGTGCACACGTGTACAGTACATGTTTACACGCCGTACGCAACATCGCGTGAATCTTGAATTAAAAATTAGAGTGTAAAATGACAACCTGCCACAGAGAAAGTCGCGGAACTCGCGACGCGGTTGATTGTGCAATTTTAGTGATCACTGTGACGACATAGTATCCAATATTTTCGCCGGCCTCTTTTTAGAGGACGCCTATTTTAGAGAAAAATCTTTTGATCCGTCTCATTCGCACGGAGTAGTTGGAAAATCGTTGAATTTATCGAAGGTGCTAATCGTCGGCTGACGCTCTCATTGGCGACGACGCGTTTACGTGCTCTCTAAAAGTCAACTAATTTGCAGTTATAAGTACACCACTGATCGCAGTACTGTAAATCAGTGACTGTTCACTGTTTTCAGTGAAAATCCACTGATTGACTGTCAGAGAGCGCGCGCGCGTGTGTGTGTAACTTTATGAGAGTAATACGGGGTGTTTATGCCCCATCCTGTATATGGTATTTTGCGCTGACATTCCTTTCAGAGTGAGTCAAGCCAGTTGTTTAATCGCCTAGGTCGATGACCTCGATCATTTCTGTCAGGCTCGAGTCTTGGAGCATAACTTTTTCCGCGCAGTTGCGAACTTTTTAACCGTTTAAAAGCTCAGATAATTAAAACGGCACTCTACGTTTGATTTTGAGCGATGTGACGTAAGGTTCTTTTATAATGAACAATGAATTGATTCGCTATTACGAGATATAGAAGCGCGTGTCGAATCACGCAGTGTGCGATATGTGGGCGCCGGTGATATCCGTCGTGTGGGCCATCATGTATATGATGCAGCGAAAAATAATGCCGGGAAATCCAGGCCAGGGCACACCGAGGAATTTGAAGGGTAAATTTACTCTACATTGTGCGTTCTGTTGTTCTGCGTTTGATTCCTCCTAAATCGCGGTTTGCACTCCCCCCCCCCCCCCCTCGATCGTGATAATGAAAAGGAAATAGAGTCGTAGAAAATTTCATTAATTGCACCCGGTACGGCGCAATTGATGTTACGCGAAACGGGCGAAATAAACCGATGGGAAAAATTACACATGCAGTTGATTCGATACTATAAACGTTTCTTGCATTAACTTTATGCTATAAATTTAATATTTAATTCAATATTTCAAAATGCAATATACATTTTCATGGATTGACTCATTGCTGCGTAATCCAACGTGCGCCGACGGTACGATTGTTAATTATCGATCGCGGCCGACTGAATAACTGCAAAGTCATACGTGCTTGGTACAGCCAAGTCGAAACGCCTCCCCAGTGGTGATAATGAAATAGTCATGTGCCTCGTGTGGGACTCATTGACCGTTTCGCAACGGAGATTTACGGAGCTCCACAATACGCAGAATTCGGCTGCAGCGCGAGCATGCGGCGGACGTCGTTATGCGACTTCTGTCTCGATTTCTATGCTTGAATACAATCCGCGTGATTTAGATGCAAGGTCACGTTAGGCTTGGCGGAATTCGTTACGATACGGTACGTGCCATTCCGAGTGTCGAATTAGCGAATTAATCCGCCAGCGGAGAACAGCTGGCATGGGAATGCGTTTATTGTTTCCCGCCTTCGATATGGCATGCACGCTGGAAATTCGCCTTTTATCAGCGGCTCTTTTACGGGCGTGCCGAGGCAAATGATCACAATTTTGCGGATGGGAAATTATGTGCGTAAGTGTTGTGTGAAATCTGCTGACGTTTCGCATTTCGAGCCCTTCGGGTTTCATTTTCTGTTATTTTACTCGTTGGTCGGAACGAATCTAAGTCAGTGTTACGTAAATTAACATTTGGCAATACTTCAGACCGGTTAGCCTAGTGCACGTTTTCGTCGAAGGTCGAGAAATTTCCGTACAATAGATTCACCAGTCCTCGTTTTTAGATTTATTTCTCGTTTCTTAGCTTCAATAGTTCCGTGCTGCAATTTTCATTAAAACAAATTTGATTCTGTTAACATTTGATTAATTTTTTGTTCTATATTGTAAAGCAATGTTTCTAAGCAACTTTACAGCGATAAACAATAAACGAATCTCATTGTTGAAATACTTTTTGCCGACTGCGATAGACTTTACGTTAACGTAGCGAGAATAAATTCGGTAATTTGCAGACGTTTTTTCTAATTGAAGGACCTACGAATTAATGACAGATTTACATTAAAAGATTGTTTTTAATCGCTTACTAGTTGGTATTAAGACTTGCGTAAGTTTACCTTTAATTACTTGCAGTGAATTGCGTAATTTTTCAAGCACCTTACATCGGTGAAAGGCGGATATTTCGAAAGACTTACCATCCTCGGAATGGAAATCAGGAAAACCAGAAGCAGACGAAGTTTAGGTAATGAAGGTGGAAGGTACGAGCGGCGTAACCTTCGTTAATTGAATAACGCTGCGCTCGCGCACCTAGAAAAGTACTCCAGACATGCCGTCTCTACCGTTTCTCTCTTATCCCCTTGCTCATCTTCATCGCCTTCCTATTTCCCGTCCTCGTTCTGCGCGCTCCTCTTCCGTTTCCTTCATCTTACGTTCGTAACGTAACGAGACGACGAGACCGCCGCCCGGTACGTCTGGTTAACGGAATACGAATGAGCTCTAGTGTCGAGAAATAATCTTCATACGGCATCAAGTCGATTTGCGGTTTGAATATGGAGTGGCGAAACGTGGTAGAACGTTAATTAAGAGAGGCGAATCGCGTTTATCACGTCCCGTGTATTATCCTAGACGGCTTCGAATTTGTATTAATTGAATGGGCGCATTATTATTAATTTTTGCTCAAGCGCAGGTTATCGTGGGAGGACGAGGTTCGTTGGCTACGCGATCTCAGGCAGAATTTCGCTACCAGTTTGGCATCAATATGTTAGACGATGCTCACGGTTCAGACCTGCCCTGTAAGTCCACGGGAGACAGGCCGAACAGCTGACGCCTTCGTGTGCTAACCGTCTCGTCGGCTACCTTGTCGTCTGTCTCCGAAATTTGCCGCGGGGGTTACCCAGGCATGACGTAGATACACGCTATTCTGGTCGGCTCGTGACGTCGTCCTCGGGACATCCAGAAATAAACCCGAGTGGCGAGCTGCTGGCTTCTTAGTGTTTCTGTCCCTCGGCTATCTTCTGTCTTCCCTCTTTCGTATCTCGAACGAGAGAGAGAGAGAGATAAAGATTATTGTATGACGGGCAAGCACGTCGACGATCTGAGGAAAATTTCGATTTCGCGTTCAATGATGTAACCCGTAGAAAGTTTCGAAGGGCATTTGCGGAACATCGTCGAAATTAGATCGAGAGCTTAAAGAGCGAGAAAGAGATTTTTACTTTTCAATATAACATCTTTTCCGAGCAGCGGGGTTCATTGATGCACGTTCGCCTCGCGCAAGTTCCGGATCGATCGGTGCGGGACCGTGCGGAAACGCAGATTTTGTAATGATTTCGACCGCGACGAAGGGAAAGATCTCCGGAACGATCTTGCCTCACGACGTTTTCAAGGCCTTTTATTCCCGCTGTCGTAAAATCGCATTATGCTCCCCAATAGCGGACGGGCGTTGCCGATCGATTCGCCCGATTGAGAAAAGGGGGGAAAAAGTTCGCTGTAGCGCGATAAATCTTGCTCGTCTATTTTCTCCCCAGGTACTCTCGTAGTCGTTTTTCTCGTAGTTTCGCGGTTAGTAGTTCGAGATCCAATCGAGCGTTCTCACTCTCCCTTTCGTTTTATTTATCAAGATAAAAATTCCTCATTCTCCTTTTTGTAGCTGCGAGGTGGTGGATCTTTGATCGTTTGATTCTGCTCGGCTTAAGATAATAATAACTCAATACGCAATCCAACGGTAGCCTTGGCGGGGCGAAGAGTGGATCCAAGTAATTTTCGATACCTCTGAAGGTACTACCGCGTTGAAGACACGCAAGGCAAAGAGCTTCCTCCGGGCGACTATGTGTTGCGAGGTGTTGAATCTGAGGGACGTTACGGTTGCGGGTGCAAATAAGAAAAATTTAATTAGCGCACTGCTATTCCGCGCGGGGTGCTTTCCTCCCTTCTCGGGTAATGGAGTAACGCAGGCGACCAGCTGGCCACTTGCGGGCGCTGGAGGAACGGCACGGGTAGAACCGGAAAATGGTGGAAGAACGGTGGCCGTTGGTACACGCTACGATTTTGCTTTATTTTCTTTCTCCCTCAAAGCGGATCTCGCTCCGGCGAACGATGGACGCTTTTTCGCGGCCGGCTGCATCAAACCGGCTCCTTTTTCCTCCTCTTTGCCTTTCTTTCGCCATGGTCCCGCCCTTTCCTATCCCCGTTCTCCGTCTCTCTCCCGCTCTCTTTACGTTCACTCTTATCTTTCTGGTACCAGACATAAATATATTTCCGTACGGCAAACGGTGCCTTTAACTTTGCGACCTGCACTCCGCACTTATTCTTCATAGGCTCGAGATAACTTTTCGTCGAAAAAAACGTACATGCTCTCTAAAATTTTTTGAGTGAAATTTTCACTCGAATCATGATGTCACTGACCACTTCGCTCTGTTCGAGTGAATATGTACTTCAATTGAGTGAAGTATTATATATATATATAATTCACTGTAAGACAAAGAGTGAAGAATTTCACTCTTATTTTTAAAGCGAAGTCGTTAGCGCTCCAAAATTCACTCCAACAGCTAAAGCACGGTATTCCGCCACTAGATGGCCGCCGAACTCGTAAGCAGGATCACGATAGCCCGGCGTATAAGAGTCACAGGCCGGGACGGTTCCTCCGCGACAATCGGCAGAATAAGCGAAACTTAAAGTATAGATTTTCTGTAATGCCCGTCCGAGGGGAAAACCGCTGAGGGTATTGTGGTGTACAGATTTGATGCGGCATTACTAGGCATTTTTTGGGTATTAGTTTGGGCATTAGGCCCTGCTGGGGCATTATAGAGATATAATAAGATAAAGTAATGCCCACTGGGCCATTAGTGGGCATTGGTGTACCAGGTTTTGGTCAGCGGTTTTCCCCTCGGCGAAGTCGTTACCGCTCCAAAATTCACTCCAACTTAAAGTACGGTATTCCGCCACTAGATGGCCGCCGAACTCGTAAGTAGGTTCACGATAGCCCGGCGTATAAGGGACCCCGTCACGGGCCGGGACGGTTTCTCCGCAACAATTAGCAGAATAAGCGAAAATGTCACGTAAATTATAGATTTTCTGTACTGGCTGTGAATATTAGAATACAGCCTCTATACCTTAGCAGTATAGTGCATTGGCTAAGCATTGGCTCAATACAACTAAATATTGGGCCACTGTTTAACCAATGTTTGATCAATGCACCGTGCTGCTAGGGTATGCGATGGTCATAGTGAACAAACACCAACAAAGCTCTCGTTCATGAATTTTATACCGTTAACAATAATCGATTAAAGTAAAACATAGCACTTTTCAGAGTTGCAGAATCAATCCAAGTAAAGAGTAAATAACGGTACTCGTTCAAAAAGTGAAATTGCACTCCATTCGGACTGGCAGTATTTTCATTATTTCTTTGAGCGAAATCTTCAAAAGAGTGAGATTCCACTCCAAAAATTTAGAGGGTACAGGCTTGCAGTACAATCATACGCGTTATAATATAACAAATTGAAAATAATAGTCGATCGTGAGCGAATTTAACACAAACTTGCTTTCTTTCTGGTCTTACAATTAGATATAACGAGATAATTACGTGTAAGCCGCGTATATCGACAATATTTAGCTCAAAAGTGTAGCTGCAATATTCAGACATTTAAGATGAGTTTCAATGTTATTGTTTTTTCCACCGCGGAATAAAATGTGAAATGCTAGCTAAAACAAAAATTTGTATACCTTTTTTTAAAAGTATTTTTGGAACGTATTAGATCAATTAGAAACTTTTTATGTTTTTTACAAAATATTTGTTATTTTGGCTTATAAAATAACTAGAATAAAAAGTGAACTTTATGATCAACCAAATAATTTGTGGATTAAGTTTTTAACAAATTGTCTTTTTAAAAAATAGTATTATATTTTCTGGAGCAGTTTTAAAAGCAGTTGTTCGTAAAAGAACGGCTATGAAGCAGTGGCGATATAGAACGATCCATTTGATGACAGCAGGGGGTCTTTGATGGCATCTCATCATCATGGATTGCGCAGCTTACGCGGTCGTAATCAGCTTGTAAAAAGCGTTCAGTTTGATCCTGCTTACTTTGAGAGAGATTGAATGTTTTGCACATAAATATCCCTTGAATAATAGCTGCAATGAATTCCTTGAATTTATTTCGCATAAGAAATGTGTGTTTTCTATTGTATCTTTTTTGTCAGTTAATTACGTCGTATCGTTTTATCGCTTATATTTTAATTGATATTTTCGACTTGCTCAAACTTGTGTGTGTGTGTATGTGCTATGTTTCATATTCATCATCTTTTTTCTTAATAAGATGTTAAATTTCGGAATACTACATTACACTTTCGAAATTTGTACAAGGTCAAAGTAGAAGCTTGATAGCTTGTAATATGGAATTATATGTCGGAAATAATAATTAATGTTATATAATGCTTTTTATTTGTCAAGTTTCTTTATTTTTTCGACCGGACAACATATTTTTTTTGTTATTTTCGAATATCATACTCTTCGCTTCAAATATGATATTTTTTGTTTGCTCCTCTTTTTATTGGCATATACATAGAATAGGGCATACGAGTGGAGTTTTCAATCAGATATATGCAGTCACGTATTCCTTTTATTCTCAATAAAAATCTATTTTGCAAATAGAACCAAAGGATTGCGTACAGTTTTAGAGATATTTATTTTCGAAGCATTTCTCACTTCGACCTTTTATTTCTCGAGTGTCTATCAATGATGCGCGAAGAAACTTATGCGTTGGCTAGGTGTTTTAATAGAGTCTAGATAGACTTTTAAAACTGCAAAAATAAACTATAACTTTCTCGTAACCCCTTTCTTTATTTGATCTTTCGTGACACATTTTATCTCACTTTTTGTGACGAATATTTGTCAGGATTCCGAATAGTTGATGGACTATCTGGGCGGAGAAATTGATAGAATTTTTATCGGTTGAACCAAAAACGATACAGAGATCATACGAACAATACGAAATAAGTCTTATAAGTTTAGCGATAATAAACAAGTAGAGATCTGGAAGTGATTCCGTTTGTTGTTATATAATTATGGAATTCGGAAACTTATTAGTTTATTATGGAATATGTAGCTGATCTATGGAGCTACGTGTGGAAATCTGCGTTTCACATCAATGCTGCATGTAGGTCAAGGCTGACAATGAGATAAATCTAATCTTATGTGGCTTTAATTTTTTTTATGACCTCCATGAGTGACTGCTATCATCTCTTTTAATATTGCATATGCATAAAATTTTATATTAGGCACTTTGTATGCATAAAAGATTGCTTCACATAATTTTCACAACATTTCAGAGATATATACGTTTATTATATATAACAGATCGTTCGCATATTTTATCTCTCTGCCTTTGGCTTCGTAATTACTTCATAAAAGCTTTTCTGTGTCACGAAAATATCTGTGTCATACAACGTGTATGACATCGGGAAAAGTTACAAGGGCTTTCGAAGAAATAAAGATACGAGAGTTAAGTTAAAAACAGCTTTCCGAATAAAAATCTGTAAAGTCGATCAACCTTTTTCCCTTCCTTCCTCCGTTACCGCAAAGAAATCGAGAAAAGGGAAGTCGATTACCTACCTCTCGGCTAACCTCTGTGACGTCATCGTTCAATAGGGTTACCTACATCACCTCAGAGAGCGCAAAAGTGGGTCAGGGATACAGACCACCGTATCAAGTTGATGCAGCTTGCTGCAGTTGTACCGTCATTGTTTCTTCCTCTGTTCTTGTTTCATGGCAACTTTTAAGACTTTTAAGACTTGAAAGATGAAAGTTTCTGTATCTCTTCAACTCCTTTTCTTAATATATAAAGTCTTACATCTAACGGTAACTACTTGCCATTTAGTCGATAATATTTCAAGAGGAATCATTACACGTAGGGGACAATCGGGAAATTGTTAAGATTAAAAATATCTGTTGGCTTTTATGTATAGCGAATGAATAGAATAAAATAAATTAAATGTCATTCGATGAAAAGTCTGTCATTTTTATTGGCACAAAAGGAATATATATAATTGAAACTTGTAAAAATAAATATGAAAAACCCAAAAATTGAACTGCCTGCTTGCACAGCTCGAAACATGCATGTTCAAAAGAGTAGCTAAAGAGTTTACCTTATAGAATTCTTCGAACCGTACACAATTATAGTTATTAATATTTAACAGTTTTCAAAAGAGACTCGGCTAATGAAAATGACAGACTTTTTCAATACGGAGTTGAATTCGTTTCGGTTTATTTATAAAAGAATTATTTTATTTTAACAACATCCCAATTGTCACGATGCGGGAAGATGTTTGAAACATTTTTGAATTTATGATATTTAATTACGAGACACATTTCTAAAAAAAAAGTTTTATTTGTGATTTTTGTTCCAGGTGAGTCTAATCACTTTATCGAGAGTGAAGAAGTTCCTGCAACTATGGGCTTCACGCATCGTCCAGCCCGAAAGAACGCAGGTATGACTTTATCCCTTCCTTGAAAACTATTGTTTATATAAAACTCATGTTTATCGCTACTGGGATTTACAATGTGTAAATTCACCTATTGGCCGTAATAATCGTGTGCTTTTGGAAGAAACTAATGGATTTTCATTAGGAGAAGATATTTACCGTTTTTTGTGTTAAAAATAAAGATATTCGCGATAAAGTTATTCTTAAAAATGAATTGTAAAAGAATAATGAGGGAGCGCATATTCAGAACAACGTATGTTAATGTAGGTCACATGTAATCCAACGATTACAATCACGTACTTCATGAGCTACGTACTATTAGTTGAAGCGATTAGTAACACACGTTGAAGTCCGTTTCAACCACGCTATAATACATTATCGCGGTGGAATTACTCCCGTGGGAGTTGAATGATGAGTCTCGAAGACAGTAAAAGCTGGAGTACAGTGATTCGCGCTTTTTGATTCAGCTTTACAATTGCAGAAACGCACATTTGTAATGCCGGTCAAGCTACATTGCCTTTCGTTACAATGAAACTAGAACCGTTCGCCTGTGCAACCGGAAAGGATGCGCCGTCGTACGGGAAATAGCGCCATTAAATTTGACTGCAGCTACATCGTACGACTCGTGCGTTTCCTGCCCGGATCGCTTCGGCCTGTATTCTTGATACATCCTCGTGGAGAAATTTCACTCCAGTTCTCCAGACTTACGACTGTTTCCTTCCTGTAGAAAACTTGTATGTTCCTTCATATCCGATGTAAATAATTTAAGAAGACGTCTTTAAAATTTTTATTCCTTTCCCGAGATCTACCTACCGTGTTTATTTCTTTAAATCTGTTGTTACGAGCACTTGTCAGATATCTCACTGCAGAGGCCGTTTCTATCTTATCTACTTATCTGACGGTGTGTAGTTAGCGTAGTGTCACGCTTATTTTTTGTGCTATCGCTGCTTGCTTAAATATCTGCTGATGTCCCATTTCAAGCCGAAACAAGAATTATTGGCATGTCTCTCGTTATCCTTCGATGTACTTTCGCGGAAAGGCTGGCGATACATATTGTACGACAGCTGCAACTGAGACAGCCGTTGAGATTTCGCTTCGTCAGAGAACAACGGCAACATTGTCTTTTCCCGTGATGGGACAGAGGCACGGAGGGAAACTCGAATGGTTATTGAAGGAAATAAGGTCGCCGAAAGAAAATTGCAGGCTGTCACGTGAAGCATTTCTCATGTTTTGATTCTTTGTCGGATCTCCCTGAAACGCGAATCCGACGAATAAGAATTTGCGTTGAGAAGACTGTTTAGTCTTGAGACTTTTCAATTATACAGGGTGTTATGCAATACCCGTCTCGCCTCTTATTTACGGATAAAGCGGACTAGACTGAGTCCAAAAGTCCTCTACTATTTTGCAATCTTCGCAATAGTTAACGAGTTATTAATTATTAAAAATCGCTGTCTTAGCTCGGCCTGCCGTCCAATTCAAGCGCGCGGCGAGATACGGCCGTCCCGCGATCGGTATTGCTAGGCGCGCGACAAGTTGTTTATCATACGTAGCCGTTGCCGTGTATCATAAACAACTTTCCGCGCGCCTAGCAACGCCGATCGCGGGACGGCCGCATCTCGCAGCGAGCTTGAATTGGGCGGTAGGCCGGGCTAAGATAGCGATTTTTTAAAATAATCAATAACTCGTTAACTATTACGAAAAACTGCAAAATGGCAGAGGACTTTTCGACTCGGTCTAGTCCGCTGTAAATAAGAGGTGAGGCGGGCATTACAT